ATCTCTCTAATGAGAGCCCAAAAGTACACAGTACTGTGAGACAAAGGTTCTTTTTGTTAACCATCACCTTTCTACTTAATTGGCTCTTGACGTTGTCAAGACTTGAAGGCTCAGCCACTAATATAAATTTTTGCTGTCTGAGTGTATAATATATTCACAGCATTGTCAAATTAAGTTGGTACCCTCTCCAATAGGCCACGAGGCTACACATGAAAGTATCTCAATTTTAACCAACACTATTCTATTCAATATATTCTATTTCTGTAGTTTTAGTATTTGTAATTAATTAGTCCTGTGGAACCTTCTTTAAGCCAATATTGAAAATTACCAAATACGAAAGGTTCATTAGCTGCTGCAGCGTTTTTGTGGTTTATCTTCTGCAAATTTACATTGTTTAGACATTTACTTAGAATTATTTGCGGTAATCTATTTCCAACTACATAAACTGAATACATTCCTGGAGTACACAGTCTGTGTTCAAAAGTGGATCTTAATTTGAAAAATGATCCAAGATTGCAATAAGAAAATTGTGCCCCTAGGAGCAGTACAATTTTACATTTCTCACACTGGCAAGTTTACAGGTGGTGGGGGGGAGCATGAAATTCCTTGGAATACTATCCCACTAGGTACCTGATTGCTCCAATCTCTCTGCAATATTCTGGTGGGGTGGGCCATCCAGAGACACTTTGCTGCAAGCCTTTGTTCCAAATAAGTGGCAATTAATGACCAATTAAGATTACTTTGTGTGTTTCCCATCCAGACTCAATTTTCAAGCTGCTAGGATGAGGTCAGTAGCAATGATGAGGCCAGGGGTTGGACATAGGGAGAGGAAGCCTGGAAAGTGATCCTGCTTGGGTGGGTTAAGGCACAGCAGGGGGCACCACCACCAACAGCATCTTTTCAATGTTGCGTATACCCGTCCCATCCCCAGTAGACGGTCTGGGCATTGTGGGTGCTCCTGGCTTGTCCACCAACATCCACACTCATGGTGTTGGACCCCTGACACCTGCTTGCAGTCCCAGTCCTGGCTACAAGATGTTTGTTCCTGGAACTGACAAACTGCCAGCTGATCAGATAGTCAGAGATGAGACTCAATGAAAGTCCCAATTTCATGCATGGCTTCAGGGCAGTCAGTGTGTATGGACTGTTGCTGATTCTTCAGGAAGGAAACTCAACATGTTAAAAATCACAGCTTCAGTTTTGCTATTTGAGATGGTTACTTCAATACACATAAATTATATGAATATGCTGCATATTAAGGTCTTTGCAAAACTGATTAAATTTTCATCCAATTTTAAATGCAATGGTATGAATATTGTAAGAAGTGTATTTCACACCCAAAGTAGAAGTATTAATTTTACAAAACTTGGGATATTATGCTGATCAAATCTGTTTTAATGATTCCCAATGTTCAACCTTCCTCCCCTAAAATTACTGATTTGTACTAAGCTGCCCTCAAGCTCAGGTGTCTATCCATTCTTTCTGAAAACTGAATACCAAGAGTTTATTTCACTGTAGCCAACGTCGCAGGCAAGCATGATTTATTTTTATCATTCTGTACATTGCTTGCCTGGAAAACTAACCTTCCGATCCCATTTTGTCCAATTAAAGCCAGTCTTGATTGAAAGGCATGACAATTTCAGATGTCTTGAGATAGCATGTCCATTGGATCAACAAGTTTAACTTGTAAGTAGCCTAGCCACGTGGACTATCATAATACCATGTTCGGTCTTTTCAGTGTGATGAGTTAACTAATCTTAAAGAAAGGGGTGTTGTGGTCCTTTATTTGGTTTGAGCACTCAGTGTGTTAGTGGAAGAAATCGATGGGAATCCTCCTTCTGTTTATCATTCCAAGAGTCCTTTTGGAATTGTACTTGTTTGAATGTTGAACGAGGACCATAACCTTTGGTGACACTCAAAAAGAGTAAGAATCTTAAAGTAATCAGCATCAGCCGAGATAATATAGTTGGAGAAATTTAGAGTCTGAAAGAGATAGCTACAGGGATAATGAATGCACTAATTATGATATTTCAAAATTCTCCAGATTTCAGAAGGCTTCTGACAGATTGAAAGATGGCACATGTAACAGGAGTGAAAGAGAAAATATGGAAATACTTAGCCTGACTCAAGTTGACAGGAAACGTAGAAAATAGGGTCAGGGGTAGAACATTCAACCCTTTGAGACTGCTCCACAACTCAATATGATCATGGCTGATCATCCAACTGAGTGCCCTGTTCCTGCTTTCTCCCCATACCACTTAACTCCTTTAGTCCTAAGAATTCTACTGACTCCTCCTTCAAAACATTTAACACTTTGGCCTCAGCTGTGGAAGAGAATTCCACAGGCTGCCCACTCTCTGGTCTCAACAGTGCATTTAGAAAATTATCAAACAAAATCAATCTAGTTTTAGGAATGGGAAATTATGCATGGCAAATTTATTAGAGCTGTTTGAGGATGTAACAAACAGGGTACAAAAGGGAAAGCATTAGACATAGTAGTCTTGGATTTCAAAAAGACATTTGATGAGGTGATATAAGTTTAATCCACAAGGTAAAGGCTCATCAGGTTGGGGTAATATATTAACATAGATAGAGGATTCATTAATTAACAGGAAGCAAAGAAGAGGGATAAATAAGACATTTTCAAATTGACAGATTAGTGAAACTAATAGACTTCCCCAAGGATCAGTGGTGAGGCCTCAGCTATTTACAATCAATATTAATGGTTTAGACAAAGAAACCAAGAATTATGTAATAAGAACAGAAAATGCCATAGAAACTTAGAAAATCTGACAACATTTGTGGAATTCTGCAGAAAAGTTATCTCAGACTTTTTCTTTCTCTCTCCATGGTTGCTGTGACAGTTGCAGAGCTTCTCCAGCACTTTCTGCTTTTACTTCAGATCTCCAGCATCTGCAATACTTTGCCTTTATTCCAAGCATTATGTATCTACGTTTGCTGATGATCCTAAGTTGGGTGGGATTGTAAAGCTGTGACGAAGACGCAAAGTTGTTGGAAAGAGACTTATACAGGTCAGGTGAATGGGCAGCAAGATTTAAGATGGCACCTTATATGGGGAGGTGTGAAGTTATTCAGTTTAGTCAGAACAGAAAAATTTACTACTTTTTAAAAGGCAGGGAACGTGTAAAACTGTTCAGAAAAACATGGGTTTGCTCAAAGATAAATGAGAGGTTTAGTGAAGGGACTTGACTGAGTAGACACTGGGATGTTGCTCTCCCTGGTTGGGAATCCAGAACTCACAGGCAGAGCATCAGAACAGGGCATCGGTCATTCAGGATTGAAAAGAGGAGAAATTTCTTTACCTAAACGATGCAAATCTTTTCGTTTCTTTACTCCAGAGAGTGTGAATGTTCCACCGTGAAGTATAGTTAAGACTAAGATAAATTTTTGGCTTCTCAGTGAATTAAAAGATATAGGGAGCATATAAGAAAATGGAATTGAAGTAGAAGATCAACTAAAAATGTAGAGAATGATGGAGTGATTTTGAGGGGTTGAAAGGTCTACTCCTGCTCCTATTCCTTATTTATGTTTTCATTGAATAATATCCAGGTGACAGATCAAATAAACCACAAACGTTTTACAACAGTTTACAGTGGATATTTGCTTGCTATTAGACTTTTAATTCCAGACTTTACTGAATTCAAATTTCATTGTCATGATGAGATTTGGAGCCATATCCCCAGAATATTAACCTTGTGCTTTGGATTACCAGCTCAGCAGCAATACCACTATTTTATCACTCCCCATAATGTAATGGTTCTGAAAGAGTTAATGTCAAAGCTGCATCAAGCTCCACTAAAGCTGACGATGTTATACATCTTCTGTTGGAGAGAAAGTAGTCTACCACGAAGTTCCAGTGGAGACAGATGTGTCATATTTGCCTCCTGTTAGGCTTTGTAATTTTGTCTAACTAGTCAATGTAACTGTGTCTTTGGTTGTCATGCAATAAACTACATCTTGTATAAGACAAATGTTTCTTCTCATTAAGACTCAATAGTGGTTTATCCTCTATCACTGGGCAGTAATAGGGTAGCATGGATCCAACACTCATTGATTACAAGGCAGGCAGGGAAGGTAAAAATAATTTATTTTGATTGGATTGTAATGGTTCATTGTAACTGCATAAAGGATGACCATAATGTTTGTTTCAATGGGAGTTCAATTCAATTAAATATGTTCTTAGCCTTGGCACAGAAAGTAGGAATGATGACAGCACCCACTCAACTACAAATCACCACAGTATTCAACATCGTTCACAGCTAATAACTTCAGGAGAGCAGAGCAAGAAAATTAGAAAGTAAAGCAAAACTGACGACAGGACAGAGGAGACACTTAAAAATCTTAATGTCCGTAAAAAGAAATTAAATATCAAAGAATGCAAACTTGTAGAGTAGGGAATTACGGAATGATGCAAGCTATTGGGAAAAGTGAAAGAAGAAAGAAAGATCTAATTGGAAGAAAAGCAAATAGAGTAAACAGAAGATCAAGCAATCTGAAAATTTTTTGGTGTTCAGTAGTTTAATGTTGCTTAATCTGTTTATTAACCTCAGTGATGTCTACAATTTACACTGATTTCAGCCTTATCCTTGCTCTGTTCTTGCTATGTTGTTCTTACCACTGATCAGCTTAAGGAAGTGATTGTTGCATATAAATCACTGAATCACAGAGACCTTACAGTGCAGAATGAGGCCATTGGGCCCACTGGGCCTGCACCAGCTCTTCAAATGAGCATTATTACCCTGTGCTAATTTTCCCCATACCCTTGTACATTATTTTTATCCAAATATTTGTCCAATTTCCTCCTCAGTTGAACCTGCCTCCACCACACTTGCAGGCAGTGCGTTCCAAACACTAACGATTTGCTGAGTGCAGAGGTTTTGGTCTTATCACCTTTGCTTCTTTTGTAAATCCAGCGTCAATAACGGATGAAGTACTGTTAATATTGGACAAAATTGAAGCTGAGAAAAAAAGTCTCGTACCTGCGCAGTCTGTGGTGATTTTGATGCTTGTTTTCCTTGGTCTTGCTGCATCCATTTGTAGGTGGGGCCCGCGCAACTGGACCTGCACTCGATGACTCACTTCTCCTCTCAGTGCTGCTGTAGGCCTGGTGGTTTGATGTGCCGCTGGTGACAAAAGAAACAGAAGTAGTGGATAATGTTGTCAGTCTGAGAATAAAAAGAACAGGACACCACAAGCACCAGGTCCAGTTTCAGCAGTTCACCTTCCTACAGTGTTTACTAATTGGACAGTCCCAATCAAACACCCATTGAGTACAGGCTGGAAAGTGATGAATATGATTTATTTTGACTGCACTTTCATTGATCATAATGACTGTATGTAAACGAGGGTGAGCAAAATGATGGTTTCAATGGCGGTTAATTTACCACCCCTAGATCTCAGCAAACATTCAGTCCTGTTGTCATAACACCGAGTCCTATATGGCGAAGGAATTATTATCCCACGCATTTCCCATTGTTTGGTGATGAATGGCATATACGGTCTTTATCTTTTCAAAACAGTTCAGCAAAGGTGCTAAAAGCCGTTTGTCATCTCAAAAGCTTATGAGACATTGCAAAACATTGTTCACTCAACAAATATGAAAGGGTCACACAGAGAGGTGCCTATAGTCATGCTAAGATTGAAATCTATTAGAAATTGAAAACTTTGAGTTGGTAACGGGAGTTTGGAATGATGTGGACACAAAAGATTAACAGTCTGAAGCACCAAACTGCAAAAAGAAACGATGTAGAGTTTTAGCAAACAATGGCAACAGTTTTCATCTGCTACTCACTGGCAGATTAAAGCTTGATAAATTTGTTGTGGCTGACCCTCATTAGATAATGCTTTACTGACATGAACCTGAATTAATATCCACCCCTTGCTGATGTAAATGACCCAAGAAGACCCCCTTAAATTTTACTGTAAATTTTACTGGACAATCATTCTGAAACTGCTTGCAAGGACAAAATCCTTTCCTGGGATTTATACAAACCCATCAGTGATATACCTGTCTTGCATTTATTTGGGAATGTCTCCATCTGTATTCGATGATTCTATGTGAGTCCTATATACTGAATAGTAGGGGATTTGAGGACAAGGGTTGTAAAGAAAGAAAAAAAAGACTTGCATTTAGATAGCACACTAGACCACCAGACGTCTCAAAGTGCTTCACAGCCAATTAATTAGTTTTGAAGCATTGTCACCATGGTCTGGTCAGAAATGCAGCATTCCATTTGCATAAAGCCAGCCAATTAATGTGATAATGACCAGATAATTTGTTAATTTTGCGATGGTAATTAAGGGATAAATATTGGACTGGACATAGAGATATTTCCTATCGTCTCAAAACAGTGTTGTGAGACCTTCTATAGCCATCTAAACAGGCAGATGTGGCCTCAGCTTATAGCAGGAAAATTACTTTTCTATGTATTCAAATATTGAAACTGTGTATACAAAAAATCATTTCTTGTGCTAGACTCATTTCCATGTTTGAATTTGATTAAGAAATCTGGTCAGTGAAAGATAGCAAACAGAATGTAACTAAAGAACCAGCAACATTTATCAAAGACGCAGAGTAACAGAATGGGAGCAAATAGCTTGGGGCTAAAATGAATTGCTTGTTATCTATACCCGTAACAAGCATTACCTGAGGCATTAAGTGCTTGGCAAATTCTTCCAATTACATGCTGATAGTGAGACACCTTGCCTACAGCCTCTATGTATCAGAAAGTTACTGACTGTGAATGTAATCTTTCAACATTGACAAGTAGGTTGGTGTCTCAGTATGGATCTGATCTTCTGCCAACGCTTTTGCCTTGAGTACATGAGAAAGTAACTTCTATTAACATACAAAATCTCTTTTGAAATAAACCATGTCCCTAGCAAGCACTACCTGTCGAGTAGGGCACCACTTGCTCTCAGCTATGGTATAAATTAAATCATAGATTGGTCATCACGTTCGCCTATTTCTTTGAAAAACAGAACACAGCTAAACAGTTTCAATGAAAGATCACTGACTTGAAACTTTAACTCCATTTCTCTCTCCACAGATGGTGCCTAACCTGCTGAGTAGTTCCAGCATTTTCTGTACTTGAACCACTCCATACAGGTTAAGAGTATTGTTTTATTTTCACACTCCGAGCGCCACACAGAAGTCGGGCAATGTAGGATATTGAAAGTCAATACAAACAAACAACTCAGGGAAAGAATTTCAGCTGAGATGGGTGCTGTTTCAATTGTTTTTCATAACTTCATCCGAACATGGAAAATATAACATACACATCCATTTTCATTTCCCCCAGCGCTTTTGTTCATGATGAGAGAAGAATTGGAACAATACCATGAAGTCTTCGGGAGTTGTGAATAATTAGGAGGCTATGGTAGATGAGTGGGGAGTTACAGGAATTAATCAGTAAGTTCTGATCGATTCAGACTATTACCTGAAGAGTCAATCAGTTGCGATGGATGATCAGAGTATTACAGTGAATATTGAAGAGGTTATCTTGGACAATTGGTGAGTTACAGTGGAGGATCAAGAGAAACACATAGAAATTTCAAGTAAGATTGGTCCACAAATGTTGAATCCTGACAATATATGACTAGAGATAACAAGGTGTAGAGCTGGATGAACACAGCAGGCCAAGCAGCATCAGAGGAGCAGGAAAGCTGATGTTTCGGATCGAGACCCTTCCTCAGAACTGTTCTGAGGAAGGGTCACTGGACCTGATACGTTAACTGTGTTTTTTCTTTCACAGATGCTGCCAGACCTGCTGAGCTTTTCCAGCAACCTTGTTTTTGTTCCTGATTTACAGCATCCGCAGTTCTTTCGGTTTTTATTTCAACTTGAAAACCTGATAAGGTAACACCTAACTTGATAAGGGATGTTGGAAGAAAGACTTTTTGTCCAACTTCATATTTGCTGATCTTCAGTCAGATGTAAGCACCTTTTGCTGTGATTTTAGATTGTAGGAATTCTTTTATGTTACAGACATGTGTTCATCAGCAACCAGCATACAGTGTGAACAATGAGCAAATTTCCTGATACAGAGCTTTCATGTGCCAGGACAGGTGAAGTAAGAATGAAGACCAGTGTTTAAGAGTCTGATTGTGTATCGTCATGCAACCATTTTCATTTGATGCTTCAGGAATTCAAAAAAATCTACATTTACCCCTTCCATAGTCGAGCAGTCCAGCATGAATTAATATTTTAAAAAGAGCAATTCTGATATTTGACAGTCTTTGAAACCCACAAAATTATATTTTGACACAAACTGAAGACATATAAATGAGTTAACAGGGTGAATATCAGAGGAAATGTGCAATCATCTTCATACAAGACAATCTAAGACAGTTAAGCACTAATTCAATAACAGATGCTAAGTAATGATGCATTAACATTTGTAAAGTTCATCCAGCCTCTTAGTCATGGTCATCATTTAGAAAACTGATTACTGATTTTAACTGGATAATTATTATACATTCCCTTTTCTGATCCTCTCACACACTTTTTAAACTAACTTTTAAATTTATTGCAATATAACTAACATCACTGATTTGTGCTGCTTCTTCAGATTTATTTAATCTATCAAATAAGTTTAGCATATTAGGTGAACATTTCACTTCAAAAATACTTGATAACTATGTCTCTGGGCAAACCTATAATAATTCCTGCAGATAACAAGGTGTAGAGCTGGATGAACACAGCAGGCC